AAGAATTAAGTTCTCAAAACTCTGGCTGGAATTTTTCCAGTTATGCAAATGTTAAACCTGATACTGTTCTAAAAGCTTTCTTCAGAGAAAAAAACAAAACAAATCAAAACCTTTGTTCCAAATAGATATTGAGATGGTATGAGGAAGACTGAGCATAGTGGAAATGACTAATAGACCTAAAGAATATTAAACACATAGCATAGGGCAGTGGTCCCCAACCTTGGGCCTCCAGATGTTCTTGGACTTCAACTCCCAGAAATCCTGGCCAGCAGAGGTGATGGTGAAGGCTTCTGGGAGTTGTAGTTCAAGAACATCTGGAGGCCCAAGTTTGGAGATCACTGGCATAGGGTACAAACCTAAATGTAGTTGGAAAGAGATACACCCAGTTGAACAGAGTGGGATTTACCTTTCAGTTATCTCAATTTTGCCTGATTGTCTAATTCATCTATACTGTATATATAAGCTGGCAGGATGGCTTTGTAATGGATTGGAACACCTGGCCATCCAGTTTGATTCTCCCACACTCTGCCTCCCAAGAGAAGAGCCAGATGTGTGGCCTTGGGCAACATGCAGAGTCCCAGAGAACCACTACAAGGAGCAGCTGGTAAACCACTTCTGAGTAGCCTATTCCCAAGAAACCTTGGGAAAGGTTGCACTCACTTGGAATCAGCGTGATGGCACACTGTTTATTAATTCTGATTGTAGACTATAAATTTAATTAATTGCTTAATTAAATTTATAGTCCAAAAATTGGAAGAGTTGAAAATCCTTATCAAGTTTAAGAATGGTTTGATATTGTTCACTGAGAATTAACATCTGATTAAGTTCATTTTGGGTAATAGAGTAGATAGGCATAGATAGCTTAAATCAGTTGTGTCTAAAATTAAAATATTTTTGCAAGAGTTTAATTTAAAACATTTGTTATTCCCATAGTGCTGTTCAATGTATAAAAACTATATTTCCTGTGCCCAGCAAAGTGTATTTTCTGGCATTTCTCTAGTCACCACATGATTAGTATAACTGTGAGAATATGGCTGAGGAGTAATGAGTCTTAATGTGACAATTTCAGTTGGCTTCTGTTTGTTTTTGTTTGTGCTTAGTTATTGTGTAAGCAATTATGCTGGTTGCATGATAGAATGAATGGGTTGAATGATATTTATGACAGTTCATAGGGGTAAGAATTTATCTCCAGGGAACTTTGTTGTGATTGGTTGCTTTCCCCAGTCCCAGTGGGACAGGGGAAAGAAAGTGTGAGTGAGGGTTTAAGATGTTGGGTAGTTAGGACAGGACTTTGAAGTTTGTTATGATAATTAAGAATAGATACGAAAAAGATAATATATAATGGGTAAAAGTTTTAACCAAAACCCCAAGTTTTACCTCATGATAGCTAACAGACTTCAGAATGTAGCAAAGGTTGGTAGTATTCACTGCCTGTATCTTTGCAAAGCTGTTCAAAAAGTCCTTAATTCAGTGATTTGCATTTTATAACACTGTCAATTTTGACTGATTCGTTCAAGGTCTTCTTTAGCTTTTAAGGTCTCATTTTAGCAGCTGGAGCTTCCCTATGTATGCAGCAGTAGTATCAAGTCACCAACTGTATGATTTCCTTAATCCATGCTACAAGTCTCGTAAGCTTTCCAGACATTGCTTGTGCTCCATCTGTGCTAATTCCAATGCATTTCATCCAGTCCATGTCATGAGATGGTATAAACTTGTTTATGCTGTTAAATACTTCTTCAGCTGCAGTGTGTACCAAAGAGGAGATGAACAATATGTCTTTGAAAACATTGCTCTCATGCTTATATCTAACTAGCACAGTGAGGTTGCTTTCATAGAACCATAGAAAAGTGAAGTTGGAAGGGTCCTACAAGGTCATCAAGTCCAACCCCCTGCTCAGTGCAGGAATCTAATCAAAGCATATCTGCCAGGTGATTATCAAAGTTTTTATTGAATGACTCCTGTGTTGGAACACTCACCAACTTCCAAGGTAACTGGTTCCACTGTCGTACTGCTCTAACAGTTAGGAAGGTTTTCCTGATATTCAACCAAAATCTTCGTTCCTTTAACTTGATCCCATTGTTGCGTGTCCTGCACTTTGGGATGATCGAGAACAGATCTTGCCCCTCCTCTGTATGACAGGCTTTCAGATATTTGAAAAGTGCAATTAGATCACCTCTCAGTCTTCTTTTTTCAAGGCTAAACATGCCCAATTCTTTCAGCCTTTCCTCATAAGGCTTGGTTTCCAGCCCCCTGATCATCCTTGTCGCCATCCTCTGAACTTGTTCCAGTTTGTTACCATCCTTCTTGAAGTGTGGTGTCCAGAACTGGATACAATACTCAAGGTGAGGCCTAACCCTTGCTAAATAGAGGGAGACTAGCACCTCATGGGATTTGGAAACTATACTTCTATTAATGCAGCCTAAAATAACATTAGACTTTTTTGTAGCCACATCACACTGTTGGCTCATATTTAGCTTGTGATCTACGACAGTTCCAAGATCCTTCTTACTCACTGTTTTGCTGAGCCAGGTATCCCCCCATCTTGTAACTATGCAATTGGTTGTCACGTTCCTGGGGGTTACAATAGCCGAAGTCCAGTAAACCAGTCCAGGGTCAGAGATACCAAGAATGCAAACCAGAGTTCCAAAACAAACTTACAGAGTGCAGTCCGAAGTCAAAGTCCAGGGTCAGATACACAGTCAGAGTCCAGAGTTCAGAGTACGTAGTCCAGGGCCAAGGTCCAAAGTTCAATACCAGTGCAAGTCCAGGGTCAAGGTCCAGAGTTCAGGAACAGGAGACGTGGGTGCCAGCCAAGATGTTGACTCCTTGCTTCCTCAAAGTTTCTTGTTTCGCTGAAGCTCGTTTTATCCTAAAGCAGCTCCCTGAGCTGTTGGAACGCTCTCCATTCTGCTAGTACTCAGGGCTAGGTGAACGCAGGTCCCTGTGGAAAGCTTTAGAACGATCCTCTGCTCTTCTTTCCCTGAGTCTTTTCCGAAGCCTGCCCCGAAGCCTGTCTGCTGTGGAGGGTGAACCTGGAGGCTGCTCAGCTGTTTCCAATCTCTTCACATTCTCCTCAGCCGCAATTAACCCTTCTGGGTCCAGATCTTCAGGCGCACTCATGACATTGGTTTCTTTTTCCGAGGTGCAGTACTTTACATTTATCCCTGTTGAATTTCATTATGTTGGTTTCAGCCCAGTGTTCCATCCTATCAAGGTCATTTTGAATTTTGCTTCTATCTTCTAGAGTATTAGGTATTCCGCCTAATTTGGTATCATCTGCAAATTTGACAAGTATTCCCTGCACTCCCTCATACAAGTCATTAATAAAAAATATTGAAGAGCACCAGGCCCAGGACTGAGCCTTGGGGTACCCCACTAATTATCTCCTCCCAGTTAGAGAAGGACCCATTAATCATCACCCTCTGAGTACATTCTGTAGCCAGTTGTGTATCCACCTGACAGTTGATCTATCCAGCCCACACCTAGTTAGCTTGCTAATCAGGATATCATGGGGCACTGTCAAAAGCTTTGCTGTTTGTTATGTCTATGATTTCATGTTAGCCGCTCAGAGTGGTATAAATATACCAGATGAGCGGGATATAAATCAAATAAATAAATAAATAAATAAATAAATAATATCCAATTGCACTGCAAAATAGGGGGACGTGAATTCCTTCTAATAATTGGTCCTTGATATTGGCTAACAAACCATCGATTCACTTCTTAACTGTGTCATTTAACAAAGGTATTAAGGAAAGGTGTTTGGCAGCTTCTCCTTGATCAATGCAGAAACCATGATTTTGCTGCAGGCAATGTGTGAGGTTTTCTGGTTTTTGCTATTAGTTGATGAGGCCCTCATTGCATCTATTTATTTATTTATTTATTTACTTACTTACTTACTTACTTACTTACTTACTTATTTATTTTCATTGTTATAACCAGTTGCAGTCTTTTTTAACCATTTTCTTACTTTCCTGAAGCCCATGCTCATTACTTTTGAAAAAAAACAGTGCTCTTTCTGAGTCTCAAAATGTGTTGCTATGAAATTCACTGTGATAATATTGAAAAGTCACTTTATCCGACAATATCTAAACGGTTTTATTAACAGAAATTGAAGAAGAAACATGATCACGAAGTCTGTCTAAAAACTCACTCTGACACAGACTGACTCCACCTCTCTTCCCGTGGTTTCTTGCAGAATCGTTTAATTAATTAATTGTTATAAATTTTTCTTGCACTTGTTACGCTTTATGTTGTAAGCCGCCTAGAGTGGT